CTTGTGTGAAACACGTGGGTTGTGGCACGTTTCTAACGATCTTCGTCTTCATTATTTGAACGGTAACCACGTTCATTTGATCGTCGTCCATTTGCATGCCGTTCATTTACTCGTGGCTGTTGGAACATCGTTATCGTTTGCAACAGGCAAAAGGGAAAAATCAAATTGTTGCCCCTGACGTTTCGCGCAGTCAAGTGACTTCAAGATGGACCATAAAGAAACCAACTCTTGTATTCTTATGTAAAACAGAATGTTTTTTGAGCTTTCATGGTTTACGCCTTATCGAATGAAAAATGAGATAAAGTGGAACGTAATTAATTATTTGATAGCTGGTATCGAAGCTACCATCAGCCATCCCAACTCACATTTTCTGTTTTTCAGTTGCCGTACTAGTATTAAAGTCTCAAAGGTGTGATATTTTAAACTCACTGTTATTACACACCAAAAATACCTCTGCACCTGGAATATGCCAAACGGGCTTCAAAATACCCCGCTCGTTACTATAATTGTTATTATTAGAAGTTTTCGATAAAACGAAGAGCAGGCTGTCGTACATACAACACACCTAATCTTCTAGAAAGAGACTGGCTATAACAGCACTAATGACACACAATGTCAAATAAAACAAGAAAAAATGGTATTTCATCTCCACTGTCGCGGGGTATAAAGTATCGCAAAGTATGTTCCGGTCTTGGTCAAAACTGACACATAATACTCGGGAAGACAAACTAGGACTGACTTCATACACTCTCTCCAGTGGGAAATAAAACGCCACTTCTTCCCCGTTATATAAGATGTATCCCGATTGAGATATGTATGTTGTTTACTATAAACTCTATATGCCGATCAGGATACATATCCCGTTCGGGATATAAATGCTTGTAGTTTTGTCACACTATACGTACCTCAAACATCAAATGATCTCACCGAAAAGAAGAGGCAAGATAATCAGAGATACGCCAGCGGTTATTTACTTCCATTTAATGTTTCTTACTTATTTTCTCACAAATTGTTTCTCAGAAGTCAAGTTTAATTCTATGGTGAGATCATTTGATGTTTGAGGTACGTATAGTGTGACAAAACTACAAGCATTTATATCCCGAACGGGATATGTATCCTAATCGGCATATAGAGTTTATAGTAAACAACATACATATCTCAATCGGGATACATTATTCCTTTCGGCATATCGTTGTATCGTGATGGGGCTATATTACTAAAAAACATGTTCAGAAAAGTATTGAAAGTAAATATGATCATTTACTCATCATCTTAAGTGAGGCTTAAAAGTCTCTTTCAGTAAACTAAAGTAAGAATATGTGAACTGATCATTTTACAATATTAGTATTCTCAGCTACGATCCCAAGACTCTCCAATATGTAGGACAATGCAAGCAGAATAAGCTGGGCGTAATTTAGAATACATTCGGAAACAAAATCTCTCTGTTGTACTATCCATTTCAAAAAATAGTGTCCGTGGCTATTATTTGAATAACTCCAGAATGAAGAACGATAGAGATCTGCAGTTTTTAGCATCCGGTGGCCCAATTCGGATAATCGTATAGGCCGATCGGGATTTTATCCTGATTGGCATATAAGTCATGATTCCGCACTAACAAGAAAGCGATTATTTATAATCATACTTTTAGATCATTTTCATACACCATGGCAACCAATAATACTGGCTTATTATCGTTTAATCTGAATAAATTGCAACAATCACAATACAAAACGTTTGAGTTTAATTCATTGAATGGAGCTTTGACAGCTAGTGATACATTCATACTAGTGTATGATTGTCCAACATTAAAACTATATAATATTAATGAAGAACTACAAGAAATTTAATTACCAGAAGGCATAGTGATTCTCGATATATGTTATTCATTTAATTTAAATTCATTTGTGTTATTAGCTGGTCGATCATTATGGATATATAATTCATTAACGTTTGAATTAGAAGAAACTGGTATAACAAAAAGCTATGATCATTTATTTTTGACGTCTTTAACAGCATATGGAAATAACATGTATTTTCTCTATAGTTCTAATTCTTTTGATGAGGACTTCCTAAACATATGATCGAATGTCGTGAATTATTATTAAAGGAATGGATGAAAAAATGGACACAAACCGATATAAATGTAGATCATATATCTGAGATTAGCTGTATACGAGTAACATCGGCTTATTTAGCATTATCTATTCATTCAGATAAGAATATTTGGAGATTATGTTTATTTAACCGAACAAACATGCAACCCATATATGATATTCAAATTGGCCAACGCGTTGATACTGGTATTGTCTGTATGTTTAGTGCGCTAACGGAACGAAAGTGGATAACAACGAATGTTCGATTAGAGAAAATGACATTAATTGATGATGATACCACAAAATCATATATTCGAAAAATTGGTTCGAATGGTACCGTATTTGGTAATAAATATCTTGTGATTCGTACGGCAAATGGGCTGAAAATTTATGAAATACAAAAGACAATAACATCGTCTGTTATAAAAATATTTTTCTTCTGATTCTTAATGTATTCTTAACTTTTTATTTAATAAAGATAGGCTAAAATAAAATGGAATCAACTTTATGTAACAAACAATTAATGTTATTTCTGCTTGTAATCTACACTTAACGTCTGATATCCTATGTATTTCAGCCAAATTTAAAGATAATGAGAGTGACACGATTTGTCTTATTAATATTATGTAGAGAAAATTCTTGTTTATGATTAAGTGTAAATTCCGAGTAAAGTAAATGCGTGATCAAATGATCTATAGAACATTCCTACGCATCGAAATCATCTATCAAGCATGTATAGCATACATAGGTCAATCGATTTCCTTTTTGTTCATTTTCCATCACTCTTGAAAAGCTAAAATAAAATGAAAAATTCTAAAAAAGCAGTTTCTATGCTCAGCAAGTTAAATTAGTCTAAATAGTTCACTTTTTAGTACAATACTTTCTAAAGGTATTAACAGATAGACAACACGAATCACTATTCAGAGTTGAAGAGTGTTTCTTTGCACTGAATGAAATTTGAAGACCAACTAACAGCTTCACGGCTGCGCCTCGCTCGTAAGTGCTCTGCATCCAGCGCAAATCACTCTCTCTTATGTGGGATATGTACCAGAGGTCCGAATGGGTCGTCATGGGCCGAAGATTTTTCACAAATTACTGTGAGACAAGACGGGTTGAAATATTGGTTCGATCAGATTCTGTGCGATAATTGCTGTGTGTTTTCATTGAAACTATATTTTTTGACGTAGATAGTTTCTTTCAACAGTTAGAGCTCTTTTTTGAAAATCTTTTGCACATTTCAATCGACATATATATTTGAACTAATTATCTCCTAAGCTTAATTCACCAGCAATTGTACATTAAAACTCCATGTATTTGAATGGAGTGTCTCTATTTATCCCAAGCGTATAAGTGAAGTGTCTCCAATTACCTCGTACGGAGTAATTAGAGACACTTTGATGGAGCTCCTCGCATTTTTGATCAGACTCAAAACTGGCCAGAAATTTTCAATAGATTTTTACATGAGCGTGTAGAAAAATGTTCGGTCTACTACCGTGTTCAATAGCAAGTTTTTCCGATCAAAAAAGGCAAAAAAATAGCAGAAAAAGGATGAAAATTTCATAGAGTGTCTCTAATTACCCCGGAGTACTCTAGTACTCTACTTCATCATGTTTATAATAATGACTTATTTTCCCGTTAACCACTCCACTTTATATATCATTCGATAGAGAATTTCAATGCAGATAACAGACCAAAATGAGCTGTCTTAAGGATTGTGTGATCCGTTCAAGTAGATGATTTATACGTGCTGCTGGAGACGGACGTTTATGCGATCCTGATTGTTGGTCCGGCAGTACATTATGAGCGGTTAACCATTTTGCGAAACGTATAATGAACAGTTTTTTTTAGATTTTGCCAAAAACAGCAGCCATTGAAATTGGAAGTAACTGTTCCACGCCTGGAATTGGATTATCTGTTTTGTTGAAGCATAGCAGACGGGGACATTTCCATTCGCTCAACCAAAAGGCGGTAGAGAATAGACATCTATTCTCGATATTTGAAATAGAGATGAAATAGAATAGGTAAAGAATCGCTGTTGCTGATAATATCGGCATTTTTTTCAATGTGTATGATGAAATAGAGAATTTAAATAAAAGATTGCCCACTGCGACCCAGTGACATTTTCTTATGACTGTCTTATATATCATTTTGTAGCCCGTAAAATTGTCTATCGAACGGTGTATAATAGTTGATATTCAATTATTACAAACATATTTCCAACGTTTTAATCAAATATGCGCAAAAGAAAGAATTTTTCTACTAAAATTTATATACTAGAACTTCTTTCAATGACGCATATCACAATTGATATTTTCACCTGACAACAACGGTTAGAATATTCATAATTCTGCTAGGACACGTTTTAAAACTTTAGAAACTTTATTATATGTATAACTCGATGTGTTCTACAAAATACCAAAGTTTAAACTCAACTTGTTGAGGTCAATCTACATTTAAATCGCTCAGAACAGCTAGTTCAGATTTCTACTTAAACTTTTCTAATTTCTGTCGCTTTCGTATAGAATTTAGTGAATTACATGCTGATCAGTCATATCGGAATATTATTTTCGGTCCTGTTTATAAGTGACGATTTTATTGCTAAACTGTCTAACTTCCGTTGTGCGGTCGCTGTTTCTGTCTGTGTCTAGTGACATTTGATTATTATCTGTCGTACAGTAACGAAAATCACAGTATATTTCTGTTATAAAAATATTAAACCGTACCGCCGTGTTACATATAGTCGTCACTGTACGGCAGCTAACCATCAGATGTCACTAGACACCTCGGCACAGCGATTGCACAAGTTCAATCGTTGTGCACGATATAAGCAGAAAAATATGCAGTTTACTTTTGCAGTTTTCTACAAAAGTGAAATGTGTATTTTCTACTTGTTATTAGTAGAAGGATTGTTGTGGTGTGTTTTATAAACGAATGAATAATGACTGTTGCATAATTATGAGACACCTTATATGTTTTGGCCTTTAGTTTCTTGTTGAGTCAGCAAAACCCTACCTCCTTTTCGGCGCCTAAAGCTTCTCCATTGATGATGATCATTTAAATCAAATGAAATCAGATGTTACACAGTGGTTAATAGAAACAACAAAACTGTTTTAATAAATAGCCAAATTATTATGTATTTGCTTACGACATTTTAACGAGAGAAGAAAGTTGATGACTTATCGGGTACTTTAACGTTATCAGTTCCTTATAACGAAAAAGGAAAGAAATAACCTTCATATTTTATTCTCCTCATATAGAAAATTCAACAGAATAAATGTGTTTACATCATTCTAAGACTGGTAATTCACAAGTGCGTCTGTTTAGCGTCTCATTTACGTAAGGCATCCTTCTACTATAAAGCTCACCAAGTCGCTTGTAAGAGTCGAAGTGGATTGATTGAAAAGTTTCTTAGAAAGTATAATTTTACTCGGATGCTTTCATTATCATAATTTTGATTTTTTGATAAAAGGTAAACGGTTTCACACAAACCCTCATAAATTATCTCTAACAGCGTACATCCGATCTTGACGAAACTTTCGATAAATGTTAGGCTAAATGAGTTACGGGGATGAAAAAATCTTTTTGTCTTCAAGTCTTACGGTTTAGGAGTTTTTCAGAGATCAAGGTTCAAAAGGGACTCTGAAGTTTTTCCCAAATTTTTTTAATATACTTCAAGCTGGAGAGTTCAGGTTTGTTTTATTTTAAGCTAGACACCTAACTACATGGACTGACCGGCGTCGATTTACCAATTAAGCCTTTATTGGTTTTCCAGGCAACCAACAATCTCCAAACCAGAAAAAACCGTCGGGGTTGTCTAAAAATCCTCAATTTGACAAAAAACTAAGATCTATATCAAAAATCGGCGCTTGTCAGTCAATGTAGTTTCTTTTCCTCTTTTAAACAAAAAGAAATGAAGTCTCCACGACAAACTGCTATTAAAAATCTTGGGAAAGACTTCATGTGTAACTCTTATATAGAGGAAACGCTGTATTAAACACCGAATAAAATACTCACTTGTAGGAAAATGCCTGTAACTTTTTGATACAAGGTCATACAGAGTTGTGTGGGGTCTTACTTTTATCAAAAAGTTTGCTCTATAAATCTATTTTCAGAAAAATTTTAATTGCATAAATCACCAGGAAAAAACTATTATTTGAAGATCCGATTTTTCGAGGCTTCTAGAAAACTTGCTCAAAATCCGCGAAAAACACGTTTGCAACCCAGAGCGATACAGATTCTGAAAGTAGACACTTCAGGCTATCTTTCTATGTGTGCATCTCAAAACCAATTGTTTGACCGAAAATCACCATCTCTGAGGGGGAGATTTCGCTTAACAATCAGTTCGGAGTCATGACTTATATCCCGATTGGGATATAATCAAAATTCTAATCGGGATATTGTTATAGCCCAATCGGGGTATATTACTAAACACGTTCAAAAAAGTATTGAGAGTACGTATGATCATCCGCTGATCGTCTTAGTCAGACTTAAAGTCTCTTTTAGTGAGCTAAAGTAATAACATGTGAAATGATCATTCTAGAATATTAGTATTTTCAGCTACGATCTCAAGGCTCTCCAATATGTAGAAAAATTCAAGTAGAATGAGCTAAGTGTAATTTAGAATAGATTCGGAAATTTTACGCCTGTGAAGGCTATTAGGCGTCATTCGCGAAAGAGATTGTTTATTTTCTTCGTTCTCCTTCTGTACTATGAATTGTCAGTGGATAGTAATAGAACGTATATGACCTTCTTTTCTTTTTTTCATCTATATACCACGTTTATATGTATACAGCATGTGTATGTAGTGACGTCACTCTATTCAGTTCATTTTGTTAAGTTTGATATTTTTTTTATCTATAGTTGTTAGCTTAAGAGTATATCATTGTGTTTTTCTTTCCAGATAAATAATAACAACAAAGTGAATAGGATGACCTTCACTGTTCCACAAAAGAAAAAGCAGTAGATTAAGTTTAGAAAATGCAGTTTCTTGTCTACGTTAAGACTTCGCAGCTGTTTGTTGTTTCTATTTTTCACATGATGACTCATTTTCAAAAATGGATTATTTCACCTAGCATAGGTTTCACTCGGCTCTTCTATTTTAGTTTGAAAACGAACATTACCATGAGCTTTAGCATAGTCGATAACCTATGTTTGCATTTGGTTCTAAGGTTATCAGACCTAATCGGACTGAAGCACATAGATCCCAACAAAATTGCCGTGAATCCGACAGGTTGGTAGCAAGCCATCTCGGAGTTGCGTAGTTTTGTAGAGGACACTTTGAGCTATTCAACCGTATACTTTGAGTGAAAAAATTCTTTTGATTTCGATACCTGGGCATCTCTTCTTTTTTTACATGTCAGGCACACCGCCTGGAAATCCGATTCGTAAAAACTCTCATATATCAAAAGATGCGGTAAAGCTTCCTCTACAAAATGCTGAAAACTGCAGGTCTCTATCTCTCTTCATTCTGGAGTTATTCAAACAGTAGCAGTGGGCATTATATTCTGAAATGGATAGTAGGTTATCATCATCCGATAATTTGGAGACCCCATAGATTCATATGCAGTTTTGAGTATTCTATCCGATGACGATTTTGGATTTCAGTAATCAACTTTTATTTTTTTCCAAAACGAAAGTTTTTTAAAAAAATTGAAAAACGTTTCGGATATATCCAGATCAAAATACGCGATTTTTAATCGACTTTTTATGCAGTATTCGAAACGACGCGTATAGCTCATCCCCATTGAATCTGAATCAGTTCTGAATCTTCTTTCGAATGGCACTCCTTTTGTATTTGGTTGTTACGCGGAGGCCCGAACAATGATTGATTGATTATATAGACCGATCAGTCTATACAAATTGTCCAGATCGGGATTTATAGCCCAATAGTGATAATCGTATAGGCCGATCTGGATTTTATCCGGATTCGGATATAAGTCATGACTCCGCACTGACAATGAGATATGAGGAATCGAGAAAAAAAGATGAGTACAAAAAAAACAAAAGTCGAACACGGTTTCTCTGTGACACCTAAAAGGACTTAATTTTATGAAGAAACATCTTATGTTCTAGCAATGAGCAGAATTTCACAAAAAAATGCTCGCTTTATCCAAACAGTTGACCCCTTTAGCCTGTGTTACTGAAGTTTTTAGTGCCTACTCCATCTACGAAATTTTCTCGTAGAAGCGAAGTTTTTTGACTCGACTGGCTGACACCGACAAAAACGCAATGTCTTTTGATGATGAAAAAGATCATCCGTTTTTGACTTTGGACAAGGTTCTTCTTTTTCTTTCCTTCTGTTTTTGACTGAAAAATGAGTCCTTTTTTGAATGACCTAACGCTCTAAGAAAAATTCTATTTTTGTCAAAAAATTAGAAAAAAATTCAGAAATTTTTCCATAGAGTGAGAATGTCTGATAAACAAAAGGTCGCAGCAACTCAAAAAACAAGATAAGTTTATGGCGTACGCAGACGTTTCAGACATCGAACTTAATGCTAATACACTTGTGCTATAAATTGTCTGCTATAAAAGAAAAGTCATACGCCAGAAAGAAGAAATAGAAAGATATGGACACTTGAAAATATTCTTTACTTTTAGTTTTTGAAAACAGAAGAATAACTGCATAACAGTAATTGACAAATAAAAAATAAAAAATATTGGTTTTTCTTAAATCAACAACAATATGGCAACATCAGTTGTTAATTTTGACGATGATAAATGTGTTTCAAAAACGCATTTACGTTATTTTGATATTGGTCATGTTTCTCTTCAACATTTATTACCAATTGATGGCTATCAAAATTTCCCATTACTACAATTAGAAGATGCTGTTGAATCTGTTCAACTTTTAATTAATGATATTAAAACAAAAGCTTTAATTGCAAAAAAGAATTGTCAACAACCTAAAGGTAATCTTACTTCCAATGAATCAGCAGCCATACAATTATATACAATGGAATGGTATCCACGTGACCAATGTCTCTATGTTATGCTTAATAAAACACTACGTTCGAAAGAACGTGATCAATTGAAGCCTTGGTTTCCATATTTAAAATTATTAATGACTGCACTATGGAAAATACCATCTATTCAATGTACAGTTTGGCGTGGTATACATGGTTCGAATTTAAGTGATGAATATGACGAAGGACAATGTTATACTTGGTGGAATGTAAGTTCGTGTACGGATTCACTGACTTTAATGAAATCACCAACTTTCTTGGGTGATAAAGGTTTACGAACACTGTTCAATATTGAATGTAAACAAGGAAAAGCAATTCAAACACATTCGTATTTCAAGGAAGAAAGTGAAGTTTTATTAATGCCGGGATTTTATTTTAAAGTTACTGGTAAATTTCAATCTGGAGATGGTTTAAATATTATTCAATTATGTGAAACAGCCCCTGATTATGAACTCATTAAACCCCCTTTTCCTAACCAAACACCGCTAACATTGCCATCGATGGTTCAATCACAACTTCGTTCAGGGTAAAATAAAGTTTATTCGATCTAATTTGAAATTATGTTATGCAATATAATAAGTATAAAATGCATGACATGGACAAATATTTTATAGCATTTTTGAAAAGTAAAAGTTATTCAAAAATTCAAAAAAAGTTTATGCGTCCAAAAGTTTGGAATCTATGGTTACATGACAGTTGAGCTTGTGACAAATGAGCTCCGATAGATGAGCCTTAACAACTGATCCTCCCGACACTTGAGCTCTTGACAGTTGAACCTCCGATTATTGAGCCGTATGAAATCTGAGCCACGACATTTGTGCCTATCACAGATGAATATCATCCAAAAGCACAAATGATTATTATATTACTTAATTTGATACGATGAAAGAGGACAAATATATAGTGCAACATCTATCTATCCCACTAACTACTCGCTAGTCTCAATGGGCAAGTCAATAATCAACAGGAACAAGTGAGTTTGTCAAAATCGATTTCGTTTATTCCGCAAGTCCATTTTTTCATTGTATGATATACTATTATTGTATAATGTCAATTGTAAAATCTTCTACAGAGAAGGATCATCTTTTACTGCCGGTTTTCGTTTTCGACGCGCAAATAAACCACAATCTACGTGGCGTTATGTTAGAAACAATTTTGATTCGAGTAATCTCGAATCTAGTAACTTATCCACAATACATTAAAGTTACAGATCACAAACATGCACCGAATCCTGACGAAATGATAACGATGAAACTCAAATCCGAAATCATTGAATGTGCAGCAACATCGAATGACCAACTGATTATGGCTGAGAAATTGCAAGATGCACTTGTAAAAATAACAAAACGCTCTGCATATGAGTATATGGATGAATAACTACAACAACTTTAATTTAAAAACAAGAGAACAGTACTTCAAAAGAGTAAGAGCTTTGCTCAATTTTTGATGCTAATGATGATTTGTTTGAGTAGACTAATTTACCATCTTATTCTCTATGTGAAGCTCAAATGTCGGGGACTCAGATTTCGTGAGGCTGTCTGGAGGCTTAACTACCTAGAACTCAAGTGTCGGAAGACTTATTTGTCGCAGGCTCAATTGACGATGTACCAGAATATAATCTGCTGTCAGAATTTTTAGGAATGTTCTATAATATATTCAAACTTATTGTATAAAAACACTAGCGAGCGCATCAAAAGCGCACTTCTGGTGATGCCATCAGAACTATGGACAAAAAATATCGATGACTTTTTTAGATAGTTATAACTGTTAAATTAAACTATTTTAAACTTGTAAACTGAAAATCAAATAATTATTTCAAAATCCTTGAAGATTTACACTTAAATATTAATAACTCAGCTACTTTTGATCACAACAGTATCTAAGCTTAAAGCAGATGACATTTGATACATGTGCTTGAAATATCGGTGTATAAAAGAATAATGATGCATTAGATCACAAAGGGAAAAAAAGAAATGAACGCATTTTGGCTTCCAGAAACATGTTCTATTCATTTACCTCAAACATAGGAAGGATTACACTGATCCTTTTCCAAATCAATATAATGCACTTTACGTCTGAGATAAATGAATAGAATATGTTTCAGAAAGTAAAAAAATGCGTCTATTGCATTTATAATTTTCCTGTTTATTACGACAGATCGTAGTTTGAAACATTTTCAGAAAGAATATAATACTTTTTTCATTACAGTCAACCAGATTCAACAATTCACACAACTACAACAGAAACTACCATACCAATCACATCAGTTCGTAAACAAAGTACACCAAGGTCAGCGAAAATATTACCTAATGGTACATCCCCAACAAATTCCATTAAATCATCATATTCATTAGATGAATCAACAACATCATTGACTGACGAAAAGCAGACTAAGCACGAATTGAGTTTATTAAAATCTAAACAAAGTCCGTTAACTGAGTTAACAATAACAACAACAGCAGAAAATAAACAATGTCCACCAAAACCAACAAATACGAAAAAAAAAGAAATAATATCAACAGTAACAACGAAGAAAAACGATTTTCCATTAATAAAAACTGTTAAAAATGTGTCAGATCCAATATCAAAGAAAGTAGAAGAAATACATCAAAATTTACATGATCCTATTCTTGATTTAGTTAAAATATCGTTAACTAACGAAGAATTAAAATTAATTACTAATACTTTACTGTACAATACAACTAGAATAAAAGTGGATTTAACACAAACAAAACTAAAAGGCTACGATATTTCCTTAATTACTGAATTGTTAACAACTAATCAGACAATAACTGAACTTAATTTATCACGTAATAGTATTGAAGATAATGGTTCAATTGAAATAAGTAACATTTTAAAATTCAGCAAATATTTAAAAATTTTAAATATTGGCTCTAACCAAATATCACAACAAGGAATTTTAAAAATTGCTGATACATTGACAACAAATAAAATATTAAATTCTCTTAATATTGAAAGTAATCCAATTGGTAATTTGGGAATAAAATATATTTGTCATACATTATCATCAAATCAACATCTAACTACACTTAATATATGGAAAACTGAAATAAATAATGATGGTGCGGAATTTATAGCGATTATGCTGACTAATAATCAAACTTTAACATATCTCCAAATGGGTTGTAATAAAATTGATGATAAAGGTATAAAATTAGTTGCTAATGCATTAAAAAAAAATAAAATATTAACAAATTTATTAATTGGATATTGTGAAATTGGTATAAAGGGTGCAAAATATTTAGCTGAAATATTTCAAACAAATTCAACATTAATGGTACTTGATTTATGTCATAATCAAATTATGGATGATGGTGCTATTGCAATCATTGATGCATTAAATTTAAATGATTATAGTTATATGGAACTTGATATAACACGCAATGATATATCAAATGAATGTTTAATGTTAATGGAACAATTCATGACTACAGAAAACCATATAATCATAAATTATAAAAATCAGAACTAAAACGTTTTCATGGGCTGTTGATATTAATGCTATTGCTTTTTTACTTTTCAATGGTTACTATATCATAATTTTAGAACAGTTCAGCCATGTTATATGGCAGAGGTGTAACCGAGACTGACAACCGGTCCGGTCCGGTCAGAAACTTCTGATCGGCCAGTCGAGAAAAAAAATATTTTTTTGTCTGAAAAATCAGTACTTTGTCGAAAACGACTTTGTTGAGCTAAAGGATTAGCCGTACTTCCAAATCTACACAGTCATAGATGATCGGACTGTAATTTTCAAAGAAAACGCTGTTTTTTTCATAAAGCTAAGAAAAGCTTTAGGGGAGCTGGGCTCCCCCTGTGGTTACGCTACTAGTGGTAATCTATTGACTTTTAATGTTGAATTCATGACACAATTCTCGGTTATCTTATTTATTTGATCCAGAGAAGTCTGAATGAACGGATATAACACAATATCGTATGACTACAAATTTTTTTTCTGTTTTGTTATTTTATGTTAGAAGGTTGATATAAACTTTATTTATTTAGAATAAATGTTGAAAAAATCAGTAGAAATTATGAGAAGAAGGAGGCGAACCCATTACATCTTAACATAAATTGACTGAGGACAGAGGACAGCACTAGAATACATGTATAGAAACAATACACGGCGACAACA